CCTTAGTGCCCTCATGTTTTTCTATGACAAGGAAAGGGCAGGCCTATGACAGGGAAAGGTTACATCACCTCATATTTCCAGTCTCAGGTCTGGAAACTCAATTTTGTCAGAACATGAGAAATGCTGTCCAAATCATGCTATCCAAATGCAAGGCTCAGAAGTATAAATTAGAATGCTGACTTACTGATTTTCAATGTAAAATAAAACTCATGTGAGTTAGAATTCTTGCGTGCTCCATGCTGTTCTCTCCTAGTCTATTTACCCAGTCTTTCACTGGATAAGAAATGTTATTATTGATTAGATTTCTTCCTCTGTTGTAATTACATTTTAGTTCTACCTTCTTGAGATTATATTTCACTCACCTGTGAAGTCACCCGGGTGCATAGAGCATCTTGGGTTAGCCCAATAGCTGGCTAATTCCACTTAAATGAATGGATTTTGCTGTTGTTGTTGTTTAATGCTCAAAGGACAATCCTGTTTTCAAATTCTTGGATGATACCTCATTGTAGCTCCCAAGTACTGCCTGAATTCTCAACATTCTGGTTACCCTCCGCTGGAATCTTCCTATTTTGTTAATATCATGTATCATTGTCCAGTATTTGAACCAATTGCTTAGAACAATTGCTAATACCAGTCAGACATTCTGTTTCTAAAATTTCTTTTCAATAATAACATCACACGGGCCGCCACATTTATACTGTGATGTGCCAAAATTCTCAGGTTGAATCAAGACTTGTAATTGGATAATGTGAAAACAAAATTTAAAATTCTTCTGTCAAATTTTAAACCACTGCAATAATATGCTTGTTTTTAGGCCCTTCTTCCAGGATACCCAGACCTTTTTAAAACTCATGATTCTGGCCGTGACCAGTTTGGTTCTGTGGATAGAGCGTCGGCCTGCGGACTGGGGGGTCCCAGGTTCGATTCCGGTCGGGGGCATGTGCCTTGGTTGCGGGCACGTCCCCAGTGGGGGGTGTGCGGGAGGCAGCTGATCAATGTTTCTCTCTCATCGATGTTTCTGGCTCTCTATCCCTCTCCCTTCCTCTCTGTAGAAAATCAATAAAATATATTAAAAAAAACAAAAACAGAAAAAAACACTCATGATTCTGGCCAATATATTAGTTACATTCCTAGCTTTGTAGATCTGAAAACTCAGTAAGCAAGCCTCCAATCCTTCTTCTAAAGTCACTCACAAGCCCTAGTTGGTTTGTCTCCGTGGATAGAGTTGGCCTGCAGACCAAAGGGTCCCAGGTTTGATTCCGGTCAAGGGCACGTACCTTGGTTGAAGGCTTTTCCCTGGCCTGGGCCCTGATCAGGGCTCGCCATAGAAATGCCTCCTCATCTGCTCCTTTTTTTCCCTTCCTGCTGCTGTCACCCTGGCTCAGGCCTTCAAAACAACAACTGACCACCCCCTACCCTTGGTCCTGCCTTTCTCTAGTTTATTCTACCAACAACTACCAGATCAAACTGCCTAGTCCAAAACCCATCCATGATGCCTCAATACCCATGACATTCTATGACCAATGCCAGTGATCAGTCCACTGAACCACCATACCTACTCTATGGCTCACTTCACCGTTAGCTGCATCCCCTCCTTCCTTTATGATCAGTTCTTTCCTAATGACTCTGGGTCTTCGTAATCAATTCCACTTCTCAATTTCTTGTTAGAAGCATAGATCTAGAAGGGACCTTCTAAATCATCGTTTCCAACTTCCTTCTAGCACAAGGGTTTCTTCTCTAGGATTCCTAACAAATAGGTGGCCTTTCCTTCTGCGCTTGCAAAGACGAGGACATAGTAGGTTTCTGATATTTTTCCTGCTTCTCAATCTTCCTTTCATAAATTTCCCTTTTCCATTGCATGCAGCCTTGATGGGGCTTTCGGTCAACATTCCCTACCTT